CCGTGTCGGCGCCGCTCACTGAATTCGACCGGCAATATCAGACTGCAGCGTCCGAGGCGTTGGCCGCCGAAGAGCTAGCATTGCAAGAGAACATGGCGCGCGAAGAAGGGCTGCTTCGCGTTGCCACCGCAGCTGAGGTACCATGGTAATGCCTCGTACGCAAGCTCGATGAGCCAGTAGGAGCGTTCATGGCGTCACACTGGCGTCGCGGACCTAGAGGTAGCCTTGTCGCGATAGGCTCCGCACCAACGACTTTATGCTGGTCGTAGTCTGTTGACGCGGCCATCGCGCTGTATGATGTGACGTCCGAGGACATTCGGAGCCGCAGCTGCCCCGAAGAAGCGGCGGCCCTCAGCTTCGTCGCGGAGACGCGGCGACTCGAGCGCGAGGCTCAGCGCCTGACGGCCAAACTCGACGCCCAAGTACGTTTTCTTGTCCAGGATGGCCCGTTGCGACGTGTGGTCGAAGGCAGCGCTCGTGGCGCAGCTACAAGGGACCCACGCGCGCCTCGTGGACGCCGCACCTGCGGCGCAATTGGCGTGTGCGACTTTGGATGAAAAGCGCGCTGCGCTGAAAGTGCGCGAGGCTGCGATCGCGGCAGCGGAAGACGCCAGCAACGAAACCAGCTCGGACTTGGCAAAGTTGCGCGTACGCTCGACGCTGCCGCATTGCGTTTCTTTCATACGTCGACGTAGAAGCTCATATCGTTGCATACGAGTTTGAAGCTCCAAGAGGCGACCTTCAAGGCGGCCTGCAAGCAAGAGCTCACGGGCCTTCAGGTATTGTCAGCACCTGGTGTTCTTTGATGCCAGCTTGCGCTACAGGCGCAAGTGGACGCGCTGCCGGGCTTGGAGACTGATGAGCGCCGCGCGCGCCTGGAGGCCAAGCTAGCCGTTCTCGCGACCAAGGTGATCTCGTGGCGGAAGGCTGTCGTGTTTTGATGAATTGCGTAGCGTACAGCGCTGAAGCAAGAGGTTGGGAAGGAGGCACGGGCCGTCGTTGCTGCGCTTCGGCTCCTTGACGACATTCCATGCAAAGTCGAGCTGCTGCAGTACGAGAAGCGGTTTATGGAGCTCTACGAGGAGGTCAGTCGAGCATCTCGAGCGACACTAAGCACGGAGTCTAGGTGGCGCTGACGCTGGAAGAAACACGCAAGTACTACTCGGTGTACAACACACTCGAGGCGACGCACGAGTACCTCGAGAAAGAGGTCGCGCTTGTCGAGAGCATCAACGCCAACTTTGAGATTGCGCTCAAGTCCAAGGCGGCAACTGACGTCTTCTTCAGCCAGATGACCGCCGTCATTGGCAACGTGCGTGCCAACGTCGCCAAGCAGCAGGTGCAGTGCGACGCCAAGCAGCTCACGGTCGACACACTCGACAGCAAATATCAACTGGTGCGTCGATACATCGACACGCGCGATTGATACTTTGATATGTTTAGCTGCTCGCCAAGCAGCAGGCGTACGTAACTGCGATCCGAGACTTTCAGCGCGAATGCGAAAAGAACGAGAAGCTCCAAGCACATCTCGACGCGTCGCAGTAAATGCGTTCGCCCTGCGAGTTCTTTCTTGACTAACCCTGAACCTCTTCTCTTTCTTGCTTGTGCGTTGGGTGGTCGGTAGGTTACGTACTTGTTGTTGTTGAAGTGGGTCGTCTATTACAATAGATAAAACTATGCTAAATAAAATTGTCGGACTTTCTTCGTTGTGTGTACTCGGTTGAGGGACTTGATTTAGGCAGGCGGAGGCAGGAGCGCGATCCGCGGGACGAGGTGACGTCGCGGCCACGTCGTGTTGTAGGTCGGC